TACTGTACACACATGTATTGTGTCTCTGAACTTGCTTTAACAACACTGGCATCATGGCTCTAATGACAGGATGCTGTTGGTCCAGCACTTTTATATAGACCTTTTTCACAGCAGACCTTTTTTCACAGCAGCCATACCAAAAAGGTATCTTGTATAAATGACAATAAATTAATAAAATACTTTGTTAATCCACTGACTCTTCATCCAGACCTACCAGCAGGTGGTCCCATTATCCGTAGTGCACTGAGATTAATGCAAACATAGCGTGCTAACACACTCCTGTAGGCAAGTTACAATGACATTAGCCTAGTAGCAGTCTTACAAGTTTAACGTTACACTAAAACATGTTAACACCCACTAGTTAAATGACATGTTTACATGCTAACTCATAGTTCAAGCATTTCATTATATGTTAAGAACAATATGTTTTTTAACCTACAGGCATTCAAAGCTGACAGTGAAGAAATGAGCAAAACAAGCATTAGTATCCAACAGTAACATGCAGATTAACATGCTATCGGTTAACATGTTGAGGCATACTAAATTTAGTCGTGTTTGTAACTGATATGTATGTTAATGTTAGCTTTTGGACCAGTTGCTGTAAGCAAAGTTGACTGAGTTGAATCTGACAAGATTACAGTTTACAGTCTGACCGTGTAGAGCTCATATTATCTAAAATGGCCAATAAAACCCAATAAACCCTTTGGATTTAGAGAATTATATGACTTTGAAGTCACTCTCAGGACTACCAATTTTTTTAGACCACTATCTTTCCTTTACATGTTTTTCCTTTCAACAATTGTGTGTTCTGGTGTTTAAAGAGCCCTACAGCCTCACGTAGCCACTGGGCTACTTTATTCTCTTTTATGCATATGGATCTGCTTTATTACAGTATCTAAATAGATCATAACATAGCTACATACAGTCTGGCTTTTAGTCTGGTTGTTCTGTTTCACCAAATACAACGGCTCTGCTGTCAGAGCTGATGAGATCATTTTAATTTTAATAACCTAATATTTTCTGTAATAAAAACAATTTCACCAAGAATATGTTTGCCAGCTCTGGGAGATAATTGGTCTCTATTTTTCTTGTTAAAATCTGGCGCTATATGTGTGTTTGTGCATGTTTGTTTCTCTCTGTGTGTGTGTGTACTTAATCTGTTCTCACTGCTGTGTTTCCAGCAGAGTGAGTCAGCAGCTGCACTGGTCCAGTGAGCAGAGCCTGCCCTCCCTGCCCACCAGTCCTGGAGTGGAGAGCCAGTCTGTCTCCCAGTTCCTCCTGCTGCAGAAACTCTCTCTACTCAAACTCACCGCTCTGATGGACAAATATTCCCCGTCCAGCAAGCAGGGCTGGAACTGGTAAGAAGTGAGAGGTTTGGTGAAGATTTTGGGTGATTTCACGCTTTAAAATAAATGTGAGGGTTCAGCAGAGGTTGAGGGCAAAACTCTGCAAAAACAACTGTAATCCTAGATAGTTGCTCCTGCACAGCTGCATGGAGAAACTTCTTCAAGGAAATGACTTTGGAAAGGAGGGCAGGTGGGCGGGTGGAGGGTAAATATTTCAAGCAGCCTATTTAGAAAATTCATTCATAATTCATGGCTCAGGTGCAACGTTGCCTCGGCTTAAAAAAACAGCAACAGCATGCTTCAAGAGGAATAAACTCCTTTCCCCAAAAAAACCCAGGAAGAACTGCGGGTGCCTTACCTCGTGTCTAGATTCCTGGGAAATAAGAGGGAAGTTCCTTTCAGTTCACTGGTTAACTGCTGGGGCACTGGGGGTTATTTTGGGCTACTTTCCCTTGCTTCAGAGGGTCACACTGTGTTTATGCCTTCTTCTCTGTGTCAATTTACATTTCTTTCTCACTCAGTCACTCAATGTGCAGAAGGTGGTCGAGGTCAATGTGAAAAAACAAACGAGATCCCAGCAATGAAAAACATTTGTTTGGAATTCAGGTCCCAGTCCCGTTTACTTTCTGTTGGACTCGGAGACAAGTGTGTCATGTAAAAATTATGTTTATTTGAAAAGCTGTAGGAGGCCTGTGCAGCTTGTTCTGATATCTCGTTTTCCTGAATTTGTGCAATGGAGGTAGCAAGAGCAAAATTAGCGCGACACATAGAGCCGTAGCCACATTTCTGGGAAATAAGCCACGTTGAAATTTAAGGAAGAACAAGATGTTGGACGCAGTGTGTTGGAATAGAGTTTGCAGACTGCAGCTCGCTCTTGTTTAAAGCGTTGGACTTTTTATTGACATACATGGATTTAATGAGATCAGTGTTTTGCCTCCTACACTATGTTTTTGGAATAAGCCCTCATGCAAAATTGAAACAAATTCATTTTCAAGAATAATAAAACATTCAGATATTCTGCTTGTTTACTCGGATGTGTTCTGAGTAAACACATGACCTGCTTGTTTTAGGCTTTGGTAGAAAACCAATTTGATTTTTGCCAAGGTTGTTATGCTCAATGAGATAAGGCTGAATGTGGAAACTGAGCATTGAACGGAAAACCCTCCATAAATTATTCTTCACAGATATTCGTCTTTAATTCTCAGGATCAAACATGTATTCAGGGGGGGTTCAGTAAAAACTGTGGCAGCTTTGTGGCAGCAGGGTAAAAAGCATCAGCAAGGCTTCCTGTAGTTCAGGTGTGCATTGTTTTAGCATTTCAAACTGCTCAATTTTACTGAGTTTAAACTTTAATAAACCACATGAAAGTGAGGGAAAATGAACAGAAATCCTGTCAGATCTGACCTGAAAGGGAAAAAGGAAGAAAACCCCAAGTTAACATTAGTTGAACAAAGCAGAAGTTTTAAATGAGCACAAACTCTGAAGTGCAAATTACTAAATTGTGTTCTTACACAAATTATGTGAACATCATGTTCCTTCGCCTTCAACTGGATTATGTGATACTAAAAATACAATTTAGACATCGCCCTCTTTTATTTATCCCACACAATATGGTAAATAAGCTAATCGACTGCTGGCTGTAGCTTTATATTTAATATACAAACATGAGAGTCAATCTTACTCTTTACCAGAAGGCATATAAGTGTACAAGCTTTAGGAGAGGCTTGGTTAACACAGATTTGTGATATCGTTATATTGGTGTGTTGTTGGCTATTAGCTATACAGGTGTAACCTGTCCGGTAGAGGGTTGTGCAACAATTATATCAAAAGACAGACTAAAACTAAAACTGAACAGTAACCAGTAATCTGTAAGTCAGACACATTCACACACAGTGAGGAATAAGCGTATGCTCTGTCACTGCAGTAGCATTAGGCCAAATGCTCTCACAAAGAAAGAAGAAAAATCTCTTTAGGCTTCAACAATTAGCTCAAGTCTTGTCATCTTAATGATTTAATCACTGATGCCAAAACGAGCTCTATATGATTAAAAATACAGCAATTAACTGCTGATTGGGGTGGCTGATACTCTGAGGCGCTTTCCTCAAAATAGCCAGTTTCTTTCTGAGAGCCACTGTTAGAGAAAAAATGGAAAGAGAGCTGAAAAGCATTTAGAGTGCATGTGTGATACCATTTTCTCTGTGTGACTGTACTTCGGTGAAAGCTACTGGGCTGTGTTTTTATAACTTTTAGGATGATGAGCCAAGAGGAGGTTTTATTATTTTTGATTGTTGGAGTGCTTTGGACCTCTCTATTACAGGACTGCAGTTTTATCCAGAGTGCACTCCGCCCCACGGTTTTTAGAGTAAAAGCTAAAAAGCATTGCAGCTTTCTATGCAGTTTTCAAATAAATAAAAAATAATAATAAAAAACAGCTGAGTTTTTGGGTCCCCTGCATCTGGATCAACAGTGTTCAATAGAAGAGAAAAGAAAAAATATCAGTCACTGGTTGCTGATATCAGTTAAGAAACAGGAACAAACTTCAACAGAGTCCTTCCAAAAGACCAATCGCTTTGATCAACGTCCATGGTTTCTCCATGCCTGCATGTTTTTTCTGCAGAGCTGATTTGAATGGCACACACATTTTAGCGATCACTGGGGACTTATGTAATCAAGAAATGTTTATTTGGCTCTTCCTTCAAAAGGAAACACATCCAACAGCCAAGCCAAGTTGAGCATTTCTTTTTTTACACTTGACTGGTTGAGATTAGAAATTCCCACGACAGTTGCAAAACAATTTTTGAGCATACATTAATTTCCAAAACTTTTCCCTCAGCACTGGTCCATGCTGTTTGATTGCTTGCTCAAAATCAGAAGACTGTAGCATCTAATGGACATCTCTGTCATCATGCAGGACTGTTCCTAAACTGCTGAGGAAGACAAAGGAGACTGAGATGAAAGGCCGGCGGGTCTTTGGGGTTCCTCTGCTCCTCAGTGTCCAGCAGACAGGAGAGCCACTTCCTCCCAGCATCCTCAGAGCGCTGGTCTACCTGAGGACTGAGTGTTTGGACCAGGTAATGGAACAAAAGACCACAAGACGCCTATGCCGATTTTAGAAACACTAAGAGGAGCTGGTGACGTGATCAAGTAAAACCTTCAGAGATCTGATGAAATCATTTTGAGGCAGTGATCAGTGGCCTTTTTGTTTCTGAAAAAGTTAGAGAATACGAAGACCATTTTTATAATAATAATAATTAAAAGAAATTTCATTGCAGAGTGCTTTTTGTGATATTTTTTACTTTTTATACAACCAGAGCAAATAAGTAAGGGAAAATAACAGAAAGTTTTTATTTCATCTGTTTTCTCTCAGGTGGGTCTTTTCAGGAAGTCGGGGGTGAAGTCTCGTATCCAGTACCTCCGTGAGCTGGTGGAGTCTGACCCAGACGGCGTCCCGTATGACAGTCAGTCTGCTTTCGACGTGGCCGACATGGTGAAGCAGTACTTCAGAGACCTGCCTGAACCCATCTTCACTAGCAAACTCTGCGAGTCATTCCTCCACATTTACCAATGTGAGCGCTTACTACTGTTATCATTGAGAAGATTTCTACTCCAATTGTGATTGCTCACTTTGTAAAATAAGCAGGAAAGTTTGATCAAGACTTCCACAGAAAAACAAAAATGAGATCGATGAACCAGCTGTTTTCTCTGCTTGTTTTTTGCAACAGTCAGAATGAATGAATTATAGTTATGCTGGAACTTAAACTGTTTCTGGACCACACGAGTGGTTTAACCCATTTTAGCTACTAATAATGCTAGCCATTCTCCAAAACATTAGTCTTTCGACTAATTTCGGTCATTTAATTTCAATACACCCTAAAGATAAACTTAGAGAGATTTTAATCTGGCAGTAAAAAGACTACCCATAACATTAATTTGGCTTTATTTTCTTCAAAAGAAAATAAAAAGTTTCAAGTTCAGAAACATGTAAACTAACCGGTCAACTTTCTGCTTGCAGATTTCCCCAAGGATCAGCAGCTGGTTGCAGCTCAGGCGGCCATCTTGCTGCTTCCTGACGAGAACAGGGAGGCGCTGAGAACGCTGCTGTTCTTCCTGCAGGACGTGGTGGCCTGCGTGGACGAGAACCAAATGACTCCAACCAACATTGCGGTTTGTCTGGCGCCATCTCTTTTCCACCTCAACACCCTGAAGAGAGACACCAACGCAGCTAGGTGAGTGGAGACCACAGACACTGTCAAGCTGTTTCTATTTTATTCTGTTAACCATCTTGGAAAAACTGAGGTCAGGTCTTTTTCAAGTGAATGGAAATGTTTTTGGCACACGTAAAAGATTGAAGTGGATGGAGGGTATGTGGTGTCTGACCCACATTGTCACAGTTATGTAAGTCTTAACAGCGCTTACATAAGACCTCTGCTGTTAGGTGTGGAGTCCATTCTGTGTGTCTTGCTTTAATTTGATTTTGGTATTGTTGGCCTATAATAAAAGAACAGCAACAATAACAGTTCACATATTCCTCTGAGACTTAGCTCATTAATCGCAAATAGTTTTTATAATATTTCATCTGGAGTTAATTTTCTGACGATGTAGTTCGTCAGTGCTGTGATTTCCATCAGTTCCTAGATGTTTGAGTGTCCTCGAACACATTACTAAGGATGGTTTTGAGAATTGCCACCTGCTGACAAATAAAACTGACCCAGTTCTTACTGTTTCAGTTCTGTTAATGAGCATAAACAAGTTTCAGATCTCTACATACTTGTGTTTATTAGCAGGGATGTGCATCTCCATTATTGAGGCCAACAATCCAACACATTAAAAATATATGAAGCAACTGCTAATGCGATATGATTCAAATATGATTCACCCCTACTATGATGCAGTGCAATTCAACACGATTTAATGCAACACAATGTGATTTAACACGATACAATATCAGGCAAAAGAATATGACGCTGTGCAGTTCAATATGGTGCTGATAGTTTGATTTTATTTATTTTTATTTTCTTAAGCAGCTTGGAAAAGAGGAGGGGAGGACTGGTCATAAATTATTGGTCACACTTGTAAAAAATCAGTCTGATTTTACCAATGCATCCCGACTGCATCCCAAAGAAAGCTAAAAAAAAAAGACTAAACTCTGTTACAACCACGGTCTACTTAGTTTTGGCTTCAGGCTGTGACTTCATCATGGTTCACTTTTAAATCTAAGCCTCTGATTTAGCTTCACATCCCGACTTCAACTTCGGTTAATGTGTGCATGTGTGTCTGATGTGTGTGTGTGTGTTAACTGGTAACCACGGCAGCCTGACATTTAGATGCCGTAGAAACATGTTTTTCTTCCTCCTTTTATTGCCTCAGTAGACGTCATGTTTTTCAAAGTTCTCCATTCTCACAGATGACATCACCTCTGGCTTAGATCCAGCTGTTACAGTCACTTACACACACACATGCACACACATTCTCTTAGTAATGAAAAGCTGTCATCACAGTTTACACAGAGACCACATTACATAACCACCACCAATTTCCATCTGGCCTCAACTTCACTCCCTGATATGAAAAATCTTTTCTATCTGCTCTTCAGCTGAGAATCCAGCTCGGCAGGAAGTTATAAAAGGGAGGGAAAAGAGAGAGAGGGGTGAAAGAGGGACAGAGGGATAGGGAAGATAAAGAGAGTGGACAGAGTGGAACTGTCGAGAATGATAATGGCCGTGCAGTTTGATTTGAATTATTAGGATGTGAACTTAATTATTAGGAGACACCCAGTCCCATCACTGTCCGCAGACCATTTATCTGAGCTCAGAGTTTGCACTGCAGTGAATTCACATCTTAACATCGATGGAAGCAAACATACAAATATACCTGTAGTCATGGGACAATATGAACATAATTGTGATTCACTATATTACCCTGATAATCATCAAAGCTTGAAATGGCACTAAAACATGCTGGAATCACAGAGAGGACACCTCGTCTACCTGCGGTTCTTTAGTCACCTATGTTTTGTATTTCCGCCCATCTGGTTTAACTTTTTATGTTGGGGATACAATGTGCAAGAAGAGCCTCCAGCCATAGTGACAGGCTTTGGATTTTGGAATGACTTAAAAGAATGTGGGTTCCCTCTTGTCCCCTTATTAAAAAAGATGTAGGAAATCAGTCTAGGGCTGTATGTTCGTGAGTTAGACAGCCTATTCAAGTCAAGCTGTGAGGCTGTGAGGATATTTGCAATTATCCTGATAATGAAAATGTATTGCAATGAGACATTAATTAAATTAATGACAAGGCTGATGATATTCTATATGTATTTTCTCCATCAACAAACCCAATGAAAAGACCAAACCTAACAATGTGTTGAGTCTCTTCCTGACTTCCTCTCTGTGGCTCTTAGCTTGGTTCTTACTGAAGACTTAAATCTTCTCATCTCTCTCCCCTGATATCTCCATCATCCTTTCCTCATGTCTCCTCCTCCTCCTTGTTTTCTCTTTATATCTTTCTCTTTATATCGTTTCTCTTATCTCTGTTTATCTTATAATCATTTTTTTCCCACTCCTCCTCTTCCTGTACTTTCCTCCCTTCCTTTCATTTCCACCTCTTCCTTTTTCCACATTGGCTCTTTTCCTCCCTTCAGGCTGATGGGACAGTAGATGGAAATGACATAACGACACAATCAGCACTTTGTGCCTCCCTGGTCCTGGAAGCCAAAGTCCCGGCCTGTCAGAAATCATGTCACACTTTGTGATGGGAACAATAACTCGGAAAATTGACTGCCGCTCGCAGCTGTTCTCCCACGGATCTATGAAATCTCAACTCTTTTTCCTCATATTTCTGCTTTGACAGAACTCACCATCCTACTGAGATGTATACTTTTTAATGGTCTAACCACCCGCCCAGCGGTTCGGCTTGTGTTGAGTGTTGGTGTAATTTCCCAGTTTTGCAGCACTGAAAAGAAAGTGCGCTGTTTGATGTGACAAAGCGCTCTTGCTTCTAACTTTTTCTTAGTCATCAGAAACTAAAACAACTTCATGGCAAATAAAATCAAGTAAAACAACTTGCCGTGAATCTGCCAGTTTCCAGTAAATCTCAGCGATGCAACATGAAAGTTTTCCAAAATAACCTGAATCTGTCAGTTGTAGTAATTGCAGCTGATTCCTGTCTGCTGCCTGTAAAACCTGCCTCAGCTGACTGGCACAAACGCTACCTGCATCATGAAGCTGCTGTCGCTGCTGAGACGGACACATGTCACGTTTCACACCCCCTTTCTGTAAAAAACTAAATTATAGGGTAGCAGCTGTGCATCCTCCGCATCCGTCTCACTGAACCCGTCTGTAGGTGGTTCTTTAGAGCACATCAAATATAAACTGCAAGGTTGGTGGTTTGATCCCTGAACTCCTTTTATCTGCACCAAGTCTGCTTGAGCAAGACACTGAAGCTCAAATGGCTACCCATGTGATAACACTTTAACATTTAGAAGCAATGTATAAAGACACAAGTACATTCCCTTTAGTACTGTACTTACTTGCCCTTTACTTGAGTCTTTTCTTTTTATGCTACTTTATACTTCTGCTCCACTACAATTATCTGACAGCTTCAAGGACTTTTCAGATTAAAATTCCTCATAAAAACATACATTTATAAGAGACATTTTCCCTCTAAAGTTCTCACATGATTTCATTTTAATAACTGTTTCAGGCCCAAAGAGGTCAATTTATCTAACATTTCACAAAAAAACAAAGACTAAAGAAAAGTTTTTAAAGAAAGAATCCAAATGTGTGTCAGTTTGTTTTTCTTCTTTCCTCTCCGAGTAATCATCTCACAGCTACTCAGATTTATCTGGGGACTCTTTGGAGGGGCCCGACCCCTAGGTTACCACTAGACTTAGACGAAACTAGCTAACTCTATAAAACCGACCGAATCTGACCCGGTGGGAGCGTTACGAATAACTACATAGAAATAGCCAATCTTCTCACTGATGATCTTGTTTGTTTATGTGGGTCATATAGAGTCATCGTTATTAAATTGAGACTGTTTTCTAACCAGTTAAAACCACTTTGCGGTACATATAAGTAAGATTTTAAATGCCAGACTTGTATTTTTACAATGTGGTATTGATACTTGTACTTAAGTAATGGATCTCAATACTTCTTCCACCACTAGATTTCAGTATGTTTGCTGCCTTTAACTGAAGACAATAAAACCTTGACCTTGTTCCTGTGTTGTTGCTGCAGGTCGAGTCACAGGAAGTACAGCCTGGGCCGCCCAGACCAGAGGGACCTGAGCGAAAACCTGGCTGCCACCCAGGGCTTGGCCAACATGATCACCGAGGCTCAGAGACTCTTCCAGGTACAAAAACTGTCAGCCTGTAACCAAACAGCAGACTGAGTTGTTTTATTAATGTATGAAAAACATTTTTAAAGCCAAAGCTGAAAATACTAATAAAATCCTCTCTTTAGCTTCCAGAGTTCTGGCCCGGTCAGTGTTTAAGTGCTGCAGGCCCCCCTGAGGACTCTGTCTCTGAGGAGGGAGGAGGCCCAGTGTCCCCTAGTCAGAGCGGAGGTGAGGAGGAGCAGGAGGAGAGACGGATCAAGCTGCAGCTGAGCACCCAGCAACTGCTAAAAGAGGCCAGGGAGAAGAGCCGAGGTTGGGAGGGTCACCCGGCTCCAGAGCACGTGGAGCTGATGTTCAAGAAGGTAAAGAGAGGGAGGAGGAACGGAGTTAGACTTACTGGGAAGATGTTTCAGTTCTACATACTAATTGATTTTTGAGTGTCCTGTTAATAATCACTATTGCATTTTAATGCACAAAGGACGTGAGGGTGCTACTCACAGCCACAAAAAACGTGGAATCAGGTTGTTAGAAAGCTCCAGGAAGATCTCAGAAAGAAAAAGTTTAAAATCTTTAAAAGTTTAATAGCAATTTTCCAAAGTTTGACGTACATCTTGAATAATTTCCTTTTAATTTAAAAGTAATTTTAATATTGATTTCAAATATACTGTTACGACCGTGACTAAGGAAAACAATAAAGAGGAGGCAAACAACACCTATGATTTGCAAAACAAAGTTTATTGCAAAATCAACCAAACAAAAACAAAGTGGTGGCTGGTAACTGCAAAAATCTATGAAAATTTCCATTTAGGTAAACACTGTATATTGTTGTACTAATATGAAGAATGGAACTGGAGGAAGGGATTAACAGTGAATTAATTTTGAAGGAAGAGTGAATCAATTATTGGGGGGAAATAATTAAATACAGCAACAAGAAAGGGACAAAAGGAGACTGAAACGTGAAAGGAAAATTGGATTAAGTAAAGATTTTCATAAAACACATTTCTAAAAAACAGAATATGACCAATTATGCAGCAATAATAACATTTAAAAAAAACTAAAGAAGTCAAATAATGAGGGGAGAGAGAACTGAGTCATGTCTATCTCATTTTTATTAATAATTTTAATGTTTTTTCAGGCATTTTAGATGCAAATGGCTGTAAACATAATGTGTATTTATGTTTGTTAAACAGCCTTAACTGAAAAGTGAAAGTCTTAATTAAAAAGTAACAGATGTACTAAAAGTCCCCAGCTGGAGCCATCTTAACATCAAAAAGCCAAATGTACACTGGAAATGTTACTGGTGGACTCCTGAGTCCTTCTCTCCATACTGGCTCTGAAGTGACCTTTTCCTCCATACGTACAAATGTTATGAGCTAAAATGAGGCTCCAAAGGGTAGCGTTAGGTGTATGGTCCAAGCAACAAACCTTCAAACATGGCTGTATCTCTACATCACAGCTTAGAAATGCTCCCTCACAGTACTTCTCAGATGGTTTGGTGCTATGATTTTCTGTTCAGGCTAGTTTTCCTTGTGTTAGAAAAGAGAACAATAATAGCCTGGCTTACTGAGAGGGCAGCATGGCATTTGAAGGGTCAGACAGCTGTGTATTTTAGCATCTTGCTGGCTTCATTGAGTTGTAATTCTCCACTTGTCTGCAGATGGACGACGGCTGCCCACTGTGGATGTGGCGCGGCTCCGTGGAGGTGGAGGAGCCCCAGAAGGAGCTGCTCCACCGGCTGCTGAGGGAGCAGAAGCTTTGGGAAGGAAGCCTACGCCATGCTGCCATCATTCAGACCTTGTCCAAGGACACAGAAGTCTACCGCTACCTCCTCCAGGGCCAGGGCCAGGGCCTGGGCTCCCGGCCCCCACAGGAGCACCTGCTGCTCAGGTAATGAGGCAAGGCAAGCCCCAGGCTTCACGGGCCTCTGGGTCTTAACCTGCTGAGCTCCACAGAGCGGGGAGGACGGAGGAGTCACAGCTAAAAATACTTGTTTGTCAGTTTTACTTAAAGTTGAAGACAGCAGGGTTTTTTTTTGTATGTGTATGAGTTTGAATGGGGTTAATGAAATTTTAATCCAGCCCCGAAGTCAAATGAGAGATGACAGTATCTGTGTTTGCAGCTGGATCACTTCACACTGTGCACCTCTGTCATATCTTCTCTCTTTACGGCACCATACATGAACTTTGAGTTACCCGAGAGTAAGACATAGACAAAATGTAACACTTGCAAATCACAAATAAATGTTCTTATTGTTATTAAATCTCTGAAAAAAATACAAAAGCCACCAAGCACAAGTAAGTTAGCACGTCTTTCTTAATACTTTGACTTCCTGTCTGTGGCTCTCAGCACATTACCACCTCAAATATGTAGTTTAATTTTTAAAAAGGCTCAGTCATTTCCTTAAATATCAGGTCAATGTCACATACATGGAGAAAATAGTGCACAGACATTTTTTGGGGGATGATATGGGATGTGATTTTAATAGTCTTGCCAGGACAATGGAGCTCAATGGCACAGGGGACTGAGATATATCAGGCTTGTTTATGATTATCACCTTATTACTTATCCTTTAAAACACCTTTAACTTATAATTCATCCCACGGATCTTTGTTGCGTGTCATCTCCTATTTTATTTTCCTGTAAAACTTTTTTTTTAAAGTGCTTTGGGGGCGCTCGGTTAGCTCAGTGGGTAGAGCTGGCAACTCATGTACCAAGGCTGAGTCCTTGCTGCAGCGGCTCTCATCCCCTCTCTCTCTGCCTCACTTTCCTGTCTACCTTTAGCTGTCTCTATCAATTTAAAGCAATAAAAAGTGCCCAAAAAAATACTTTAAGTGCTTTGGAAACAGAAACGTACGATTGGTATTTTTACGAAACAGTGCAGGTAGCAGTTCTTATCTGTCTTTGTGTGTTTGTGTGTTTGTGCGTGTGTGTCAATCAAATGCTTGCAGGGCCATTTTCATTTAACGCAACAGAGTTGGAGCTGCAGACAGTAATTAGCTAAAATACAGGCTGGCTAGTCATTTTCTGTCACATTTTGATTCTCCTTCCTGATTATCTCTTCTCTCTCCTTCTCAGGACCTGGCAGGCAGACCCATCCCTGGGCCCTCTGTACCTGTCCTCTGTATCCACTGAGCACCCTGAGGTGCTGCTCGAGGGGGTTAGGGCCCAGGTCCACTCCTGCCTCTACCTACTGGAGCCCACCGGAGCCAGGAAGACCCGACTGACTCACCTCTGTCGAACAGATACCAGGTAAGGAAGGAAGGAAAAGTAGAAGAAAGAGTGAAACTTTGCTCATTTTAAAATTGAGTGTGAGAGTATGATGGCTAAAGGTGAGGGAGGGGGGGAGACAAGGTAAAAGACTCACCCACTCATATTGAATAACTGCCAGGATGCTGGGAAGGTAGAGTTATTTAATTATCAGGGAGGAAAGAGGATAAGCTGGATGAGGCTGCAGTAGATGTTGCAGTATGTCTGAAGGATAACTGCAGCATAGAGACAGTCAGCAGATATTTGTGTTGTGTTTTCTGCTCTTGGTCGACAATGAAGACTGACAGAAAATATTACAAAAAAGAACTGTTTTCTCTCTGACTCTTGCTGGTGTTGGATCATGAAAATAGTTTCATTCTTTCATTCAGTCTGTATTTTGAGATGTCTGAAAGTCCTCTGCTGCCACCCCAGTAAAATTGAGCTGAATGGAATCTTGTTTCTGCTTTTAAATGCGTTGAATTTTAAAAAACATAACTTCTAGAGACCTCGTGCAACAACCAGTCACACAGACAGATAATGTCTTGATCTGAATGAA